AAAAAAAAAAAAAAAAAAAAAAAAAAAAAAAAAAGAAAAAAGAAAACAATTTTCTGGGAATGCACAAAGACCACGAAGACTCCTTCATGTGCATGACCAATTTTTTGTGTTTTGTTCATTTTTTGTGTTTTATTTCTTTTTTGTTTTTTTTTAATTGTATGAAATGGGTTTCTGAAGTTTAAAGTAGTCAAACATCAAAACTGATGTTCTGCGCTTGCAGTGTGAATGTCGCTGTAGTGCCGTGTGTTGCAGTCACAGTGTCCGTTTTCTTAGCTCTCTGTTTTTCTTTAAACGTAGTTTGTGAAGTGTCTTATCTTTTTCTATCAATTCCAATTTGCCTTAAATCTTTCAATGCTGTAGCTGTTTCAGTAAAAGTTAGTCCAAACTAATGATGTAGAATGCTTTGACCAAATGAGCTGGTCTATTATGCCTTGTAAAACAGCAGCATAGGGCTTTTAAAAGGTAGTCAATAAAAGTTGCTGAAAATTTGGCTTTTTTTAAATGTGTAGTAGGTGTTTTTAATGATTTTTCACATAATGTGTAAGGTAGTGAAATGCAAGAGGGGGGAGAAATGTTTTGTGTGAAACACATTTTCTGAGTAGGGAGATTTTAATAGGATAAATTGTTTGTAAGGCCATATGCCAACAGTTTCCTCTGGTAGTTTGACTGATTTAGAAAATCTGCTGTATGATGCAATGTAAATCTTTTTTGCCTTTTTTTCAGAAAAGAAAAAAAAACCTAACTTGATGTTCTAGTTTTAGCGTAGGTAGCAGAGGGAGTGGGGGCGGGGTGGGTGGGGAATCACGGAATGTTTTGTCCTTTCTTTCTACTAATGATAGTGCTTTAGAATGAGGGTGATGCCTGATATCAAGCAACCGAAAATGTTGCTATTGCGGCGAAATGGCAAAAGCTAAAAGTAAAGGATTTATTTTCAGACATGAGCTGAGATGTGAGTAGGAGCATAAATGATTGGATACTAGCTCTCTCTATTAGGTAAATTTAAAAAAATGACTTGGCACTTTTAAAGGTAACTTTACCAAAGACCAAAGAGCCAGTAACCAATAACTCTGATTTGTCTCAGCATTACATCCTCTGTACTCTTTATTTTTGCCGGACCAGTTTGCGGTTAGGAGAATGTGCCTTTTTTGTACATTTACATTTAGGTTTTATAATTTTAATTGATGTATGGACACAAAAAGCATGAAGGAAGACTTGGATCCAAGCAGTGCCACGCTTTACATCATCACTACAAGTGTTAAGTGTAAAGAAAACCAATTTTGAAACTATGAAATTCCTGATTCATAAATACACAGTTATTTTCTACTTTACACATTAGATAATTCACTGTTATTAAAGCTCTTTTTATTACAATTGCATACATTTAAAAAAAAAACAATGATAAATTAAGTTGTCTTCCAAAACTGTGTACTTGTCTGGTCAGCTGTGTATGATCAGTTATCTACCTCAAAGTTTATTTCCTTTTGTACTGGGACAGGTTGCTGGCCCTCCCTGTTTCCACAGACCAAATCCTCCTAGCTCAGGAGCTAGGACTAAGCAGTTATTTCTTTCAAGTATTTTTTAGTTTTTAAATTTTATGCGTGTATTTGAGTATAGATGTCAGTGACATTTCATAGTTTCAAAAGTAATTGCTGCTCTGAGAAGTATAGATTCTAGTGAATTACATAGTCATAAGAGAAATGTGTTTTTGTTTTTGTTTTTGTTTTTTTGGTTTTTTGGGTTTTTTTTTTTAAGTTGTGGTATTATTGGTTCTATGCTCCCTGGAATATTACTGCTTTGTAAAAGTCCAGACTTCCTGCAGCACCTTCCTTCCTTCCCTGTATCCGGTATATTTGCAAACCTGGATCTCTCACTACTTGATACTTTTGCATTAGTTAAGGCAGAAAAACATTAGATAGCTCTGTTGGAGGAAGGGAAGATCTGCTGCTAGAAGTGTCTGAACTAAGTGCCATACTCGTCTGGGTAAGATTTGGGAAACATAACCTCTGTACATAAAGAAATAATCAGTTAAACATCACATAGTAGACAGCCATTAAATTATAAAAAAAAATTAATTTATGAAGAAAGACCTTTTGTACAGATTGAAAAAAAGATTTTCATAGAGATATCTATATGATCAAGAGAGTTAATTTTTTATTTTTGTTTTACTAGTGCCACAAACTTGCCAGTGGTAACTTATTTGTCCGGTTCAAGATAACTCTGTAGTTTTGTTTCCTAGGACTTGTTGTTAAACGCCAAAAGACATTTTTGAACTGTAAATTTGATTAGATTGTCAGCTTTTTCTGTTTAATTTCTTTTGAAAAACTTTTGAATAAAAAAGATCTGAAAATGTTTGTCTTTTTTTTCTCTCCAGTGTTTTGAAACAGGTAATTAAATGTACTTCTATTTCATTTCCCTTAAGATCTCTTCAAGAAAAGTATTGTTTTCAAAATGAATTGAATTTTATAGGGCTTGATTTAAACATAAAAAACATTTTCTTTGATAAGTTAATCATATTTAATTGGCAAATAATTTCACGGCAAGAAAAAGAAATTCCAGTTTCTTAATTAAGGCAGAGTGAATCCATGTCACCAAAATAACTCACCAATGCAAGGAAAACATCAGTCAGCCATAGCCTAAGGTGGGTCTGAGTCATGATGGCAGATATACCAGATTGTGTATGAGCTATATTAGGGGAGGAAACTGGAAATGTTGTCACTTCCTTCTTGCTATCTGAGCCCTTAGTTGTCTATTGTAAATTAGCCCACTCACCCTTTCTATGGTAAACTGGGTAACTGATGTCTCCTATTAATCATCATATGGTCAGCTATCAGTGATTGAGGGGCAAAGACCTAAGCCCTTCATTTTTTCTTATTGCCATTCAGCACTTTTGGTTCTTGTTTATGTCTTTACTCTGCAGTCATGCAGTCCTAGGCACTAAAATTAGCTAAAGTCTCATAGGTAACAAAGAAATTAGGTTATCTGAAGATCAGCATTATCTATTCTGCCCCACCTCCACCCTACTTATTTATGGAATTTGGACAAAAAAAAACATAGCCTTTACTTCTATGTTTAATTTATTTCTTATTAAAAAGAATTATTAACTCTTACATATTTTCAGAGGACAACTTCTAGACCTTTCCCCCATATTTTGGTTAGGCATTGGTCGTGCAAGGTGAGTGTGCTAAGGTGCTTCAGAAAGGAAGTAACACTATAGGGGATTAGGGGGTGAAATAAATAAACAATGAGTTTTTCTCTAAGTAGATGAAATATTTCAGCACAGTTGCCTAGTATTAATTTTCAACCTCCCAAGAGTTGTTATTTAGATGACTATATTTGGGTAAAAAAAAAAGGGAAGAAACAAGTATTTATTAAGCACTTAACTGTGTGCTAGGCACTACATGAGTGGAGGGAGCAAGGAAGAGAGGAATGTGACAAAGGCATGGAATATAGTTGAGCTGGTAGAGGTGGAAGAACTTTAAATTTTAATATTCCCCTTAATAAGAATTATGTATGGAACCTCTGGTAAGTTCATTAATTGAGGCTCAGAGCATTTCTTTGCTGTAGCCAAAAGCCTAGGGAAAAATGGCCTTCAGAATAAGACAGGGGATGGAATGTTGCTGTTGTTTGTCCTTGGTTCTCGAAGAGGACCATGACATCAGGAAGGTGATGCCATGACTTGCAAGTGAATTGGATTTAAGTGAGGGAGGGCTGTGCAAAGTCACCAGCTTCACTTTCTCCTCCAGAGCCATCTGGGTCCGGTGGCAAGATATAAATCAGGACAACTGAAGGTAGACCAAGGATAGGGGACAGCATTCTCTGAAGAACTTAATTTTACACTGGTGCAAGATTGGTGAATGATCTTAACCACTTGGGGGCAAATGATGACAGACTGCTTAGAATAACTGGCTACATACCTGGAGAATCACTAGCCCATTGTACTTAAAATAATTTATGGACTCATGTACTTTACTCTTTGGGTTCCCTACTTCCATAAAGCTACAATTAAACAATCCATTTACCTACTATGTTAGTGCAGGTCTCAGAACACATAAGTTTGATATCATTTAAAATCTGCATGCAGGCTGCAAAATTTCTCCACCATTGGCTGCTTAAATTCCAAAACCCTTTGCATATACTAAAAGGGAGAACATTGAAGATACCACCCATTAGTATTTTCATAAATAACAGAAAGTGGTTTTATTAGCCAACAGTGATTTGCTGCCCTTATTTATAATTAACCTGATATTTAGCAAGAAAAATCTTCGATAATTGCAAATATTGAAAAAACAGATGGCATGAGATTGATTCTGGAATTGTTACTTGCTAAATTGATTGAGTGTGGGATACTGGTGCTATGATTTATTTATAAATTCTCTAAATGAGCAGTAGCATGGAATAATGGAAGGAACACTGCACCTGCACCCAGAACGGCAGGACACAGGTGACAATTGTTTTGTTTCCTCTCAATGCCTACTCTGCACTTACATTTATATAATGCTTTATGGTTTACAAAGCCATTTCCTCACAGTGCTATCATGTAGGTAGTGGAAGTAACATTTCCATTTTACATATTTTAGGAAAAATACCAAGATTTAAGTGACCATTCCAGGATCACTCAGACACTGTCAGAGCTGATCTAAGTGATCAGTCTTTAAACCAGTGGTTTTTCTACCAAATCATAGCCTTTATAACAAGAAAACATAGAAAGTCAAACACAAAGTTCTCAATTGAGAAACATAAAACAAAAATAAGCAATAAAAAGTATCGGAGAACATAAACAGTTGGAAAGGAGCGAAGATGAGAAAGGACCTGTTAGTGCACGTAGACTAACTGAAGGGGAAAATTAGACTCGGGTTATACAAAATGTGTATAATTAAGGCCTGACCCTTGCCACTATATCCAATCAAATACCACCTACATGAAACATTTTTGGAACCTCCACCAATGATTACCTTTTAACTTGGTGTTAC